CTGTAGTTGTGCTTTCAGTTGAAACCAAAAATTAAATTTAAAAAATTTCTGAGAGCTTTTACGTTTTTTTTCGTTTTTCTCAGGTGAAATCAGTGGAAAGGAGATCAGATGGTTTACTCACAGTGAATATAACAAACGGTGTTATTGATGAAGTGGAAACCTTAATATGGGCAATTGGCCGTTTGCCACAAACGCGAAGTTTAAACGTTAATTACGTGGTTCGTTTTTGTTTTTTATGCGTTTTGTGCTGTGTAACAGCATTACAAAATGCATATTGTCACGAGGTTGTCTCTGTGTGTGTGTGTGTCCCACATTTTGTCCCGCACTTTCAACTCGGGAACCACAAAAGCTAGACGGCTGAAATTTTAGCGTAGTTTTCCCCGCCGGTGGATGACGCGGCAAATGTAAATTCAGCTTTTCCGTACCTGCGGGTAACACGTGCGGCCCCGTGAAAGTTTTTTACGGGTAAATTAGTATCTCGGGAACCACGGGGTTTAGGAAGCTGAAATTTTCGGGTAATGACCCCCTGCCCTCGCTTAACCTTGACTATTCAAATTCAGCGTTCCCGCGCTCTTGAGTATCGCCTATAGCCTCGTGAAAATTTTGGCAGGTAAACTATTGACTTGGGAGTCATGGAAAGTTATTCACCCTTCAAGGTTTCGAATTTAGCGTTTATGCGCTGGTGCGTGAAATTTTCAACTGTTTTCCAATGTTTGAACTATTTTTGCATAGACTAAAGTAGAAAGCAGTGAAAACCATTAATAGGCAATCGTTCGATGGGCTGAATAGCACAAAACGCATGATCGCACCGGCTAGTCTGCTGCGCGTTGCTGTTTATTTTGTTTTCTTTCCCGATCGAAATTCCTCGAAATGTTAGATTGTTGTGCGATGCTGAATTTATCTGTTTTTGGCTTGTATTTTGCCTGTTTGTAATTGCCCTGGATGGTGTGATAGATTGGTATGATATTGTAATAACCACGGCTTCCGGATGATTTCAGTAAGAAGGTATATTAAAAACGAATGAAAAAAGATAAACGGAGAGGGGGAAAGTAAGAGATGAGAATTACAAAATTTGTAAATTAATAAAATTATTTTAATTGCAAGAAATGTTTCGGTCCATTAAATCGTATACATTTCTTACCATTACCATAATTGAACGAGCTAGTCTGGCAAGGTTTTTTTTGATAGTTCTGTACTGTTGCGAGAGCTGCATATTTTTTAGCATTTTTTCCTATGAAACTGAAAGAATTCATTGTTTCAGGGTGTTAAAACGGACAAAGATGGCCATATTATTGTGGATAAATATCAAAATACATCAGCGAAAAATATATATGCACTTGGGGATTGCTGCGGCAAAGCATTACTTACGCCAGGTTGTTTTCCTTGTATCTTTGTATGTAATCGTTGTACATCTTTGTTTTATCATTGAGCGAAAACTGTAGATCGTCTTTGTTATTTTTCACCAAAATCGATGCGACCGACCGGCAGCACTTGATTTTTTGCGGCGCTGAACTTACTTTAACTACGTAACTCCAAACAAAACGATTTAACGGCCTCACTGGGACCGCTCTAGTACGCATTGCTTTAGATTGATTGACTTATTTAGCAGTACCAATTGCAACTTGTGTTGCGAAAACAGGCTTTAGAATAGAAAAATATTTTAATGTTGAAGGAAGACAAAGCAAACAATATTAAGAAATTAGCAAAAGTTGTAAAATCTTGTAAAATGGTAAGAAATTCGTTCCAGATATTATAATGAATTCGGGCCGTTCTAGCAAAAATTTGTGAAATTTTGTAAAGTATATTATAATAGTAAGAAATTCAGATGAAAAACCTGTTCTAGATATTTTTTACAAACCAGTGTTTTTTTTAGAATTGTTTTTTTTTCAGTTGCGATTGCCGCTGGCCGACGCTTAGCTCATCGATTATTCAATAATGAACCGGAAAATCATTTAGACTATGAAAATATCCCAAGTGTTGTGTTTAGTCACCCGCCGTTGGGAACTGTTGGTCTAACCGAAGGTACCTAGTTTTTTTTATGCGTTTTTTTTTTTTTTGTTGTGTAGCAGCAGTACAAAACGCATATTGTCATGGGGTTGTCTATTTGTGTATGTGTATGTATGAGTGTGTATATGTGTGTGTACTTTATGTATTCTTCCTCAGTTTTTCTTTGTTAGAGCTTCGGCGAATTAGCTTTATGGAAGGATTTCTTCAGCACAAGCGATCGAGCGATATGGACATGATAATGTGATGATTTACAAGACGAAATT